GTGACATTGTGGCCTTATTTCTCTGAGGGAAGAGACTGGACACACTTTCCATCAAACTATCTGTGAATTCATGCCAGCACATGTGCTTCTTTGGTTCCTGTGAGGCGTGACCGGACAAGTGTGTCTTAAAGAAATATCCACATACTGTGACAAGCAGGGGGGCAATTCCCCATACATATGAAGTACATAAGAGATTGGAGAGATAGCTTCTTTACTCAGAGAACAAAGGTTACAGTGAAACTGTACGTTCCTCTACAGTGAAGCCTTGTTAGCATTGTTGGTAGTATTATATTCTCCTGCAGTTCTTTGTTTGTGGAACAAGTTGTTCAGAGGTGAAAGTAAACACAAACAAACTCTATGCATCCTTTGCAGAGATGTGACCTGCGGAAAGCTGTTTTGCCACAATGGCAACGAAAACCCAAACTACGGCCGCATGGTCAGGGTGGGAGACTGCAAGGCAGCTTTCTTTGAAGACTACACGAAGGACTACGGTCAGGTGGACACTGGGACGATGTGTGGAGACGGAAAGGTAACAGTCCGTGCAAGGATTTATTAGCTTTGTAATTCAATCTGGTAATGTGTCTATTTTCAATCCACAGTCAGCTGAGAAATAACTTGTTGCTGCATTAAATCTCTAGTGTGTCAAAGTAATTCACGTCTGTGTCACTGATTTGTCTCGTTCAAGGTGTGCAGCCAGAATCAGTGCGTGACACTTGAGACGGCTTACCGGAACATTAACTGCTCCGCTAAATGCTCCGGCCACGCTGTGAGTACATGCAGACACTAATCCTAACACTAAACAGGTTGGCTGCAGACTGCAGCTCATGATGCTTTGTCATTATGAGTCAGTCTTGGTGATTATCTTCTGAAAATATTAAAGAAATTAAGAGGAAAAGCCTATGAATTTTACATAAATGAAATAGTTAACAATGAATTTTTTGCCAATTTACCAATCAGTTAATCAGCAAATTGTTTCAGCAAAATTTAGCAGATCATTATATTTCACGTGTTTTTATTCATTCATTCAACCTTTATTTAAACTTGGAATACATTAAGGTCTGGAGGCCCCATTTACTACATATCCTAATAAGAAATTAAAACATGTTGGCACACAAATAAGAAACTTGGATAACAAAGTTAAAAGGGAGCGTTAGTAAAATAATACACATTAAATAGAGCACCTAAAAACAACACATGAATCAACTGAAACATAAGCAGCAGGAAATAAAACAACAGGAAATTTACTCCTACTACATAATCCAGTCATTAGAGTGCGTATGGTAAAGACTACATTAAAAGACAGAAGAGAAATAGCCCTAAAAAATAAATATTCATCACTTATCACTTAGAATCACTTGTACAGTACTTGAGTAATGGGTTTAGTCATGTATCACCATCACAGAAGAATGACGCTCCACATTGCAAGTCTGGTAAATTTGTTTGTAAAGAAAAAGAAAAGTGCTATTAGTGTTATGTAGTAGCTAAACTGTAATAAGAAGATGATGTTTGCTGCTACAAAGAATAAGGTGATAAGGTTGTGATCTCTGTGTTCTCCAGGTTTGTAATCACAGAAGTGAGTGTCAGTGTGAGCCTGGCTGGATGCCTCCTCGCTGTGATTCAGAGGACGGCTCCTTCAGCTCTTTCTCTACAGGTACGATCCATGTACAGGTGTCCATTAACACAAGCATTCAGTTTACTGTGTCTTTGTTGTGCTGCCTCATCCCAACCAAACCGATTTTATGATTCCTTCCTGCAGGAGTGACTGCTGCCATCATAGTGACGGTGATACTGGTGCTCCTGGGTGTCGTCGCCGCTGCGGTGGGGGTCATCTGGAAGAAACGACAAAGCCCCATCCTGCCGACGTAAGTAATCGTCACCCTGCTGCAGGTTTAGTCGTGGCTATTGCGAGGGTTGGTATCTGCACATTAAACGTCGCTTTTCCTTACAGAACACAGGCACAGAGGAAGCCGCCTGTCGTGAGCAGCTCCGCTCGCCACCTGAACAAAGTGCCGAGTCAGCCCAGGCCGGTCCGACAGGTATTGTGCTGGAGTACACTGTCATGACCTAGAACATGTTAAATAACCATCCAACATATTTTTCTAACAATACCTGAAATTTTAGGCTGGGAGGCCAAAACCCAAAGGAGCTCCACCTCCACCGCCTCCTGCAGGGAACAGACCCAAACCCCCGAGTCAGAACTACATAGCTGCACGTCAGGTAACGAATCCCTCAGTTGATGTGTCGCACACAAATCGTAGGCCTCTGACCGTCACAGCTGCGATGTGTTTACTCCCTCAGTCTTATTTACTGTGATGAGTCTGATCTGGAGAGAACTATGTGATTCAAACCGACACAGAGTGGGTCGCACAAAATTCCGATCTCCCTGTGCATCCAGTAAAACGACATTTCTGGTAGAAGAGAAAACATTTTGTATCAGATGCAAGTGCAGCAGGCAAACTGCACTGATGCTTACCAAAAGATGCTCCACAGTAAACATACATGATTCATTCTGTCTTTTAGGGGAAATCTTTCACTTTATTGGTTGATAAGAAGACACATGCAGATAATCTCATGGAACCAAACAATAAGAACCTTCAGTTTTTAAACAGTAAAAATGTACGTTTTTACTAGATTGTTCTAAATAAGATTATCTGCATGTGTGACTGCACCTAAACAGGATCAAACATGAGCTTCTTTTTTTTTGGTTTTTGAAGGCAGCACAAGAAGTCATAAACAACACTAGCACTAACATATCTTTATCTTAGCAAAAATGTGAGCGAACAGCTGTGAATTTACACATGCAGCAGAGACTGAGCAACATTACTGTTTATGTAAAACATATTTTTGACAACCCAGGACCAGTACTCACTTTCTTTTGAGGTCTCTTCTCTCTTTAATGGTTAATTGGTCATTGTTCACCAGCTTGTGCTGAATCACAACAGTAAAATGCCTGAAAACAAAGACGATGAGAAAAGAGCTAATAGTTCTCTGTATTCCAAGTGAGCTACACAGTCATATGATCCAGGGTTCACATTAAAGTATAGATGTATGCAGCTTTGAGCTTTGAGAATGAATCCCTGTTTTTTGCCCTCCAGGCTCTGAGGCCGGTGCCTCCACCGAAAGTCTGACGTCTGACGCAGTGCCAACTATTAGCAAATCAGGGGGAGACTCACCTTCGTCCTTTTTTTCTCTCTAAGAGGCTGCTGGTAATCCAGACAGACAGACAGTTTTTATGAATGCTGTCCTGTCACCGCTTTGCAGCTTTTTACTGCAGTGCTGAAGCACCACGAGTGTTTGTACCAGCGAGGTACAGTCTGCAGGATGGACATCCTGGACTCTAATTGTTACTGGAATGATGTGCACTGAGGACTTCAACGCAGGGATTCACTTTTATTTTTATAAATCACTTTTTTATACTGTAAGGTTCGAGTGGCCTGTGAGCCAGATCTTGTGTTTTGTCACAGTGATGGTACAGAATATGTGGACATAACTGGATTTAACTGTCAAACAGTTTTCAGTCTTTTTTTATCCTCAGAAATATCTTGAGCTGCTCTGATTAACTCTGCTGTGATGGTAAAAAAATTCTGTCACTGAGGTGCATTGAAGTGCAATGTACTAGAAATGCTAACCCAAAGACTGCAGTTACCCCGCTACTCACAGGTTTTGTAACACGCTACATGTCTACATTTTTGTTAAATCTCAAGCCAAGCCTTCTTGAAAATACAGCGAAACCACTGACCAATTTTTAGTCATATTTATATATATATATATTTATCATACAGTCACATGCTGTAGGATTTTGCTCATTAAATCACAGCTCTGTATGGGTGAACTATGTGCAGCAGATTCTGCCTCTGCTGATTGTTGAGCTACAAGCTCCTAACTAGTGCTTTATCAGAGGTATCTCCACCTCCACTTACATTATATATAATATGTCTGACAAGTGCTAGAATCCAAAGTTTTGTCATCATCAAAGCTTGAGATTTAACCAAAACTTCGGACACTGTAGGTTGGACTGAATTGGTCTGGACTAATGTTGTTTCTGATTTGTTTCATGTAAATATACTTTGCTGCGATTCAGACCTATCATCATACTGCTGCTTTTTTCAAGTGAGTTCACTGTGTGAACATGTATATAATCTAAAAACAACAGCACTGGGCCAGAATAAATACATAAAAAATTTAAAAAGTGAGGATACTACAAACAGCAAGACTTTCAGGTTACTGTAATAATTCAACACAAATTTGGAAAACAGAACACTGCTTTTGTCTTGTGCTGTGTTAAAGGAGGCCTAACCCCATGTGGTTGACTTATGAGGCCTTTGACTGAAGTATCACTCCTCTGCTTCATCACCTCACTCTGATGCAACACAGGGCGAGGTGTCTTTGGACTCTCCTGGTGCAGGAGGCGAGGCTCTATGAATGTCACAGAACTGTCTTTAATTAGAAACGCTTGATGTGAATTAATGAGACACGATACATTTGTATTTTATACAAATACACAACAAAAAATGATTACACCTTGAAGCTGTGTGAGTTTGTTTTTTTAAATGTTGTATGTGTGTTTCTTTGTTTTGTCCTGTTGGGGGCAGCAGACCAGCTGGGTCGTCCCAGGAAATGAATCCGCACCTCCCACCTGATACCCTTTTTCTACAGTAAATTCAGCATATTTGATGAAACCATGCAAAATGTTACCTTCTTACTAGAAATATTTTTCAAGTTACACACCTTTGAAGTACATGAGGTTTGGTTGAAATTTTGTGCTAATTTTCTGGCATTTTTGAGCCCTCATGACTTTATAAATACATGAGACAGAGACATGAAATATCAGTTAGAAACTGCAGTCAAATGAATTATAAATGAACTGTGTCACTATCTGAACCCAGAAAGTTTGTTCAGCACATATTTTTTTCTATAACCAACTTTCAGCATCAGTATATTGCGATATATTTTAGTTACAACCATAAAACTGCACACGTCTAATGTCTATAATATAGAGTCATGGAAATAGGAACTGGTTCTCTGGATGTGTTGTCTGACAATTTGCTGGAGAAAACATGAAAAAGTGAATTTTGTGTAAACTTTCAAGAGCCAAATCACCATGTGGGAGAGGAGTTTGGTGAAAACTATTTACACCAATGTAGTGGTAGTGCTCGTATCTATGACTCAATGTCATAGACACTAAACTGGTGTAGTTTTACCATTGAAAATAAAATTAATGCTCTAAGTGGGGTATATAAAAAAAAAGATTCTGGTTTTAGATTGTGACTCCTGAAGTGGATGTAAAACTGATATGATTGCCAGTTTCTATCCATCCATCCATTATCTATACACCGCTTAATCGCTTACCCTGGGGGGCCGCCAGTTTCTAACAGAACTCAAATGTGTTTTTGTACCTGAACATTTTATGTGTCTCGGTCCTTTACATGTGAAGTGATGAGGGCTTAAATATGCTGGGAAAAGTAACATGAATTAAAAAGCACAACAATTTGACCTATGTACTTCAAGGAAAACTTAGAAACAATAATACAAAAAAAAATATTCATAGTATGAAGGCAAAGTTTTGACCAGCTTCAATACATATACTGAAGTTATTGTAGACAGCAAACAGCTGATTCTGAGGGGTCAGGTAGGAACGTTCTCCACATTTGGTTAATTGTTTTTTTTTAATGATCCAATTTTGGGTTCATTTGATTCAATATGAAATCAGACCTTGCTTAAACAGACTTATGTTTGGACTCTTTTGGACTTTTTGGAGGCAGTTTAAGGTAAACTGACATAATCAAGACGAGCCAAATACAACACTGCATTTGAATTTTATTTTTTTCCCCAAGTGATACATCTACGTAAAAGATTTCATGGCCTCGCATGACAAATACGGTACAGCTTATTCCACCCCTTTTTACGGCTATTATAAGATTTTTGATGAACAACATTGTTTTGTTTTTTTTTGACATTCTGCGAGATATGTATAGGACCTGACAGGTCAGTATACTTCATGGCTCAACCAATGAAGTCTTACCTTTAAAACAAATTTCAACACCACAGTAATGAATGTAAACCGAAATACTTAATCTTTAGGAAGCTTTCCCAGAAGTCTACTGAACATAACGGCAAACAACAATATTTTGGAATTTTTAAGGATATCAAGATTGCTGCAGTTTAACCTTTAATCACGTGAAGTCTCCTGGTTTGACTCTGTTCACCATCCACACACACACACACACACACACACACACACACACACACACGGGTCTTGACATATGTGGCCAAGGTGGCATGGCACATGAGGCCAAATGCCTCAAAATTCTTTTTTTTTTCTCGTAAAAAAAAAGGGGGGTACATTTACAAGAGAATAGCAAATCTTAAAGCTTATTTCCCTTCCTTTCTTGAGTGACAACAAGACAACAGAATACAGTCAGGTGTGTCGAAGCACCAGTAAAGTCAGTTTTTAGGAGTATGTCCTACAAAAAAACAGGTCTTAAAGGGTTGGGAGTGGCTGTGCAGAGGTGTTCGGACCAGAAGAGAGCTCGACCGCTGAACGTTTCAGAGAGAGAACAGCAGAAACACACCAGCAGGTGTCAATGGTCCCCCATGCTGGTGTGACCACGAGTTGTAAAAATAATACACTGTATATGTGAATCAGCCATGCTTGAGATGATTAGAGTTCTGTCAGGAGTGCTAAAAGACAGCTGTGAGGATGGTGCTGGTACCTCTTATAGCATCATCCCTGCTGAGGGGGATGACTCAGTCCATTGTGTCCGGGTGCAGCATCATCAAAGTGCTGTCAGTAATCAAATGTTTCCCTTATTAGATATGCGTGGTTATGAGAATTCAACAGACTTGTATACTGTATAATCAACAGTAGATGGAGACACCAATACAGTTTCAGAAACAAAGGAAAGCCCCCAAAGTACACCATGTCTTTTTTCCTTTCTTTTTTTTTTTTAAGTGTTTCACAATCAAACATCAAATCAAACGGCCAAAATCCTGTTAAATACACTGAAATGTTCTACGTAATAATGATCAGTCTGTTTGAGGACAGTATGGCAGCAGATATACTGCTCGGTGGGGAAAAAAAAAAATCTGCAAATGTGTCCTCTTTTATCTGATAACTGAAGAGAACAGCTGTCCATTTGGAGTCAGTTGGGTTCTCTTTTTGTGCAGTGTTCAACCCTACGGACGCTGTTTTAACCAGTCCTTCAGAACAAGTGTTTCTGATGTGGGAGTATCTATGGGCCTGGTGGTAGTGATGGAATAAGACGTACTGTATGTGTCTACAATCCCTTTTTCTTCTTTTTTTTGTGGTGTAGAGGAGCGAGAACATCCGAGCTGCCATCAAGTGAACACAAATCAAAACCAGCACAGGACAGCCAGCAACACCAACCATCACTGCAAACAAAGCATTAATCCTTTCCTTCAACCGTGTCATTCAAAATATACTAAAACAGGAAAGGTTTCTGTGGAAGTGCACAAAATACTGAAATATCTATTCCGCATATTTGGGGATTCATTTGAAATAAAATAGGACTATACACCAATCAGCCACAACATTAAAACCACCTGCCTCATGTTGTGTAGCTCTCTCTTGCACCACCACAACAGCTCTGACCCATCGAGGCCTGGACTTCACAGAGCCCTGAAGGTGTCCTGAGGTATCAGGCCCCAAGACGCTGACGGGTGGGGTGATCCAACACATCCAAAAGATGCTGGATCAGATTGAGATTTGGGGAATTGGGAGGCTAAGCCAACACTTCAAACCCATTGTTCTGCTACGGAAACTATTCCTGAATAATGTCTGCAGTGTTGCAGGATGTGTTGTCCTGCTTAAAGTAGTCCTCAGGGAAAACTGCTACCATGAAAGGGGGTATTCAACAATGTCTAGGTAGGTGTCAAAGTAACATCAACACGAGTGCCAAGAACCAAGTTTTACCAGCAGAACATAGTCCAAATATCACACTGCCTCCACTGGTTTGTTTTCTTCCCATAGTGCATCCTGCTGCTTCTCCAGATATAAAAACCGTTATTCGTCAAACCAGGCCGTTTCCATCCGCTGCTTTTGCTGCTTCCAAAACATCAACTGTTTCTCTTGCTGCCTGATGTACCCCCAGTCTTTGTCAACAAGACGATCAGTGTGATTCACTTCATCGGTTATGGGTTTTACTGTTGCAGCCAATCAGTGAAAGTCTTCTTAAAATTTCTGCTTCAAGTATAAAATGGTATTTTGTAATTTTAATTCCCTCATTATCAACCTTTCAACTGACGTACATGTAAGAATATACTGCACTGTATGTGAACCTCAAGTGCGTAAAATGTCTCGACGGGAACCTTGATCCAGATGTTGAGGCTACAGTATTTGTTCTTTTCCCTTATCAAACACATGGAGAACAATTTTTTTTTAAAAAAACCAAACAAACTTAAAGTGACTAAAACTCTTGGATAACATCTCTCTATCTGTATCAACTCAAATTTATAAAATTCTCTTTATAATTTTGACATGTATAGGTTCAGTGTACAGTATACATTTAACTGGAAAATGTCTTCAATCAATGATTTGTTGCTATGTCACAATATAACTAATATATTTCATCTTTAATAAATAAGATTAGATTGTTTTCCCCAGATAGTCACATCGTATGTTTGTCCTTTTTTTTTTTAGCAGCTGGGAAGTGTTTTCCCAGCACTATGGCCTCCTTTTGTTTTCATCCACTGATGCGTCTGCTTCCGCTCTCTGCCGCGCTGTAGGCGAGCAGAAGATGGACAGGCAGTTTCAACAGAGGAGGCAGACAGAGAAACAAAGACAGAAAGATACTGAGTGAAAGAGAGCAGTTGGGGATTATGAGTCAGGTGTTGTGGGTTGTGTGAAGACGGGAGGATGGTGTTTCTGTGCCTATCCATCAGTGCCATTCTTGTTGGGGGTGTTGGTGTTAATTGTGGTTCCGTCTGGCTGCTGGCCATCTTTGCGTGGTGGCATCCTCTCGTTTATCCTGTCCAGGCCTCGTGCCTCCTCAAAGTTGCGAATCTTCCTCGTAGGAGAGAAGCCTTGAATGGCTGAAGAGACACCAAAAAAGGAAATTACCAGAAGCTTTGAGTGACATCCCAATTTTACAGCAAGCATCTGCTGTCAGCCGTATTGTTTAGCTTTTTAATCAGCATCAATCAAACTGGATTCCTTGTGGAATTTCATCTGATAAGCACAAAACACAGTATGTGCCTAATACAGTACACATGATCCGTGAATACAAAACATGCACAGATAAACAATGACTCCTAGTGTTCAAACACCAGTGGGACAAGCTAGAACAATAAAACACCTCACACTTTGTACACTTACGGTGATGTCCCGAAACAGCCAAGGAAACCAGACAGAAAACGTGTGCAAATGAAAAGCAAACTTGTAAAAGGACTGTTCAGACATACTTATCAGTCATTTAAGTTATCAAGATAAACAGAGAATGAAAAGTCAGACGTGAATGTTTTCTAGGTAGATTATACTGAAACAAGGCCTTTGAGGATACTCTTGCACAACCAGATATCTGTGATAGCGAAGGATTAGTTCTCATTTGAACTGACTACTCGTACCTTAGGGATTATTGTACCTAAGTATTATCGTAGTAGTCAGAGGATAGGGTAGGATAAAAAAAAAGGGTTTTAAAAAAAATAATAATTAGGATTTGATTAAAAAATATATCCATATATTTTGTGTTTGGGAGAAAAATGAACAATTTCCAACATAATGGTGCTATTTTAATGCTGTAAAGGTGAAATAATTACTTAAAAGTAGGAATTAAATTAAAATACTTAGCTAAATAATTAATTATAGGTTTATGAGTAATGGTTTTGTAGCCAAAATATTTAGCTCCCAAATGAATTAAAAGTAACAGTTTAATAGCTGGAATAATTAGCTAAAAGTAGTAATAAGACAGATGTAATGGTTAATAGGCTGTTAATAATACTAAGTAAAACTTGTGCTTAAATCGTAAATTGAGGACCTGAAAAAAAGAATTAAGTGGTTTAAAAAATTAACTAAAAGTAATGGCTACGTAGGATTTAATAATTAGCTAAAAGTAACAGTCAAGTAGCTGTTAATTACCAAAATAATTAGCAAAAGGCAATACTTATATGTTCAAACAATCTGCTAAAAGCAATAGAGAAGTAGTTAAACCAATTGGCTATGTAATTAGCTAAACGCAATGGCTCAATGCTGAAATAATGAGCTAAGAGTATTAGTTAAGTAGTTGAAACAACTAGCTAACTAGTTAGTTAGAAGTAATAGTTACGTAATTGAATGGTAGAAATAAGTAGTTGTTATTAATTAGATAATGAGCTAAAAGTGATCATTTGGTCGTTGAAATAATTTAAAAAAAGAATTTAATCATTGGATGAATAATTGGCTAAAACAATTAAATGGTATAAAAATGAAATAATTAGCTAAAACTAACACCTAAATGTTAGTGACCTGAAAGTACTGATTAAATAATTAAAATAACTAGTTAAAAAGTAATAGTTACGCAACATCCACTTCAAAATAAGTTGAAATGAGCACATTTGAAACACGACTGGTGGGATCTATTGAGGGGTGTCTGAGTTTGTCTGTTGTGGATCCATCAGACTGAAAGGTTGGGAACACCTCCCCTAAATGAGACTGAGTGGACACACAGCCTCTGAAGTTATACTCCCTATCTGTTGACGTGGTCTGCACCTAATCCACCAGAACTAAATCTTTTTCATGTCATGGATTTGATTAAATGAGTGTTTCTCATGGTTGAGGCCTGTTGAAGCAGCTACCGTCACTATCAAGCAAAAGGAGCAGACAGTGGAGCAACGGCCAACTGCTGTAACAGGATTAGCTTCTGTAAATATCCCAGGCAGGGATGTCCCTGGTCTTATCTTAGCCAGGTCTTAGCAGGCTTTTCTCTGCATGGGGAGCCACACTTGGCAAGTAAAGCCTATGTGACCACACTCTTGTCCGTTGTTGATTTGTTGTCAACAGAAACAAGGGGCAGGTCTTATACCCAATCTATATCACTAACTACGAAACATTCTGTAACATGTGCTTTCTTTTTCCAAATCAGTTACAAGACAGATTGAACTACCACTGTTTATTTTAATAAAAGTTTTTTTTTCCTTCCATATGTTCATATCTTCATCTTATCCATGTCTCTTTTATTGCTTGTCTACCCTGTAGAATACAAGCGCCATATAGACTAATTTTATAACGATGGAACCAGTGTGATCAACAGACACTGATTATGCAAGAGAAACCAGTCATACATTAGCAGTAATTGGCTAATCACTAATGTAAAAAGTCAGGAAACTAACAAATAAACAACAAAAGTACACATTATAGGAGTAGGGCTGTGTTTAAAGGGTGAATAACACACAAAACACAAACAAGAGGTTTGAGCCACACAGCCAATGCGTACCTTTTGCTTTAGCTGCCTCAATGGTAGCTATGTTAATAGAAGTTGAGGAAGAGGAGGGAGGGGAAAGGGAGTCATCAAAGGCAGCCAGAGACAGCAAATGCAACAGTAAAATCAAACTGTAAATCCAGATGTAATAAACAGATGGCAGAATATAGGCCAACAACCATGTCACGGTCATGTGGAAGCAAAATTCACAGTAGCTGCAAAACGTCATCAAAACACGTTAGCGAGTGGGCGGGAAGGTTAGAGCGAAGAAGCCTGCTGGAGATTTAAGATGGTGTTGGTGTTAAAGGGTCATGGCGACTTAGGTGTGGAGATCTGAGGGGGGATTTGGCTGAGCACTAAGAGTCTAAGAACTGAAGCGAGATGGGCAACAATGACCAGGCGGGACGACACATTCGCACAGTCCAAACCGGCAGCACACACATGCAGTCAGAGATTCATTCAGACACAGAGTTACAAAAAGCTTTGATTCAAAACGAAAAAAATACACAAACTGAACAGAATGTTAGAAACATCACAAACATTATGAATATTTCTATCTAAAATGCATGCTTGACATTGTGAAAGTCAACATCATAAATTATGCAGTTATATTTACTTGTTATTGAATGTGTAGGTCCATTAAAAGCATCTAATTTAATCTCTAAATGACGACAATAAAGAAACGGTTGTGAATTTTTAATGAAAGTGTTGTGTTCAAGCAGCAGACTACTTTACATAGCAGCAGGTGCTTTGTTGGTGGTGACACTTGGGAAAACATTTTTGTCCTTATATCATCAGAAAGAGCTGCGTGCCACAATGCATACTTATAGAACATTCAAAAGTGATATCAGCAGTAGTACAGTGGATTAAAAAACCAACCAACCAAAAAAACACACAATCATATGCCCTCCCTTTGTTTGAACCAGCCTAGCCGACCTGAAAGCTGTGGCTAAGGGAGCAGACATGGACAATGACATTATCCAAAAGGTCACAACATGTGGTTTCTCCTTCGATTGCTCTGCAGCTTCTGTGAGCTTCCAGCGGGGCAAAGCGTGGCTCTCAGCATGTCCTCTGGCAGACGAGGCCAGGCGGTGACCTTTAGATCAGAGGGTCAGTAGCCATGTCCAGGTGACAGGCTGACCTCCCCGATCAGCCAGCCCACAGCTCAGCCCAAAAACTTTCTACCGCGTGGGCGTGGTGGGGGGGTGGGTTGGGGGGTTTGGCTTGAGTCAAAGTGGAGCCAGCGCTTCCTGTGGTGGGCATGCCATCATTGATCTAGAACCCTTCAAAAAGGTAGCTGGACAGGGAAGCTAATCTTCACAAACTGGATGCCAGCATGGACATCTTTTAGCTCCAGATGTTTCTGCAATGTGTATATTGCTACAATTACATTTAGAACATTCCAAACTCTAATCAAGCTACCTCATTGATCTCATTTGGATATTACCCACATTTCCCACAATACAACAATACGGAGGTCTCAGTGTTGTATTTCTGCATGTGCAAAGATGAAAAGTGCATGCAAAGATAAATCATGGGATTTAAGCTGTCTTCTCTGACTAAACTGCAAAAAAGCTTTGAGTTCACTGTAGTTATAAGGAGCAAACAAAACTGTTAACTGACAACTTTGGTTTCAACGGTATAAAAGTGTTCCAATATGGATATCTTAGCAACTACAGTAATGTTGACTTCTATAGGTTGCTCATGATCCTTAGTTTAACGTTATACATCCACTTACTTGAACTTAAAGGAAGGTGTCAACATTTTGGAATATTTATTTCGTTACTTTATTTTAAAAAGTTCAATGAGAAAATCTGTACTACTCCTGTTTCCAACACTTGCATAGATAGACATTTTCTACTTGCCAGTGTTTACTGTTGTACACCAAAACACCAAGCCAAATTCTTTCTATGTGAAAACTGAATGGAATAAAATGGATTCTGATCCTGTATTATTAACATGAGCTAGAAAAAGCAGTTGATTCACTTAACTAAGCATAAAGCCTCAAAACAGAGCTAAACAGCCGACCTAACTCCATCTAAAGATAACAAAATCCACAGAACAGACAGTATTAGGTAACATGCAACAAACAAAAGGCTGTTTTCCACTGCAGAAACTTAGAGGCAGTTCTAGGCAGCCTGAACCTTTGTGTGTTCTGCTGCAGGAACCTCTTCGTAGAAACTCCTCCAGGGTGGTTTTCAGGGTAGAAATAAAGTACCTATTCTAGGGACGGTACTTCTGAGCGGCCCTGAAAAACTGCTTTTTGAATGAGTCACACACACAATATACGATATAATGTGTTTATCAGTTAGCTTTAGAAGTGCCTGGAGGTGGGTTCTGTTACCTTTGGACAGAGCAAAGCCAGCTGTTTCTCCCTGTTCCCAGTCTTTATGCCAAGATAGCTCGCCTGCCTGGGTGTTGGCTCCAGCTACAGATTTGCTATATACACTTGAGAGCAGTGTCAATCTTCTTACCTAAATCTTAGCGATAAGCTATACTTTCAGGTTTATGGCCATACATTTGCCTTGCAAACCGCAGATCTTTCCTTATAGCTATAGCTAGTGCAGAAAAAATGTTACAAATACTTTTAGTGCGTTGCAGTTACCCCGTGTTTTGTACAGTTTTCTCTACTGATGTGCTTGAGGATTAACAGATCATGTAACACCGCCTCTTTGCCATGTCGAAGAAAAAAACAGGTTTGCCCGGCAAATTCAGTGTTTAGAACAACACAGGCCTGGTGATAAAGAGTGAGAAAGTGTCCCTGAGGGTTGAGATTCTGCTAAATGGCATCTTGCAAGGAGGAATCAAAGAGCAGGATTATTGAGTGGACAACACACTTACCGCTTTGTAAGGTCTGCTTCCCCCCTGACAACACTCCCATTGGAAGAGTTCCAGTTGGGGTCAGGCCTTTGAGTGTTAACACACTCTCACTTTCCTCCCTAGTCCACAAACAAGACACAGGCACACAAGGTACATGCAGATTACATTTCAGCAAGTAGAGCAGCAGACACCTGGCGGTTATGAAGCTGTTGTGTAGCTAGGAGGTCATGAGTTCGAGCATCACTGGATATTTAACCTGTGCCAACCCCCTTGCTGATTGATAAGAGTGATAGACTGTCAGCTGTAAATGCCTCCAGCCAAACTGCTATTATGTGTCCTGGATTTGTAAGTGGGTCACCAACAACTTGTGTCAATTTTAGCAGCTGAAGCAATATTTTTAAGGATCCGATACCAGTGTAAAGATTTGTGTTGACGCACTTTTATGTGAACATGTAACTTTCTTTATACTTTCAAAAATGTTCTCTACTGCTTCAAAAGAGGCTGCACATAACAGCTGAAACAAGACTTTTGCATAGCATTGCAAAGTTGCAAATTGCATGTTTCGTATCATTTTGATAATTTTAGAAAATGTGCACATTTTGAAAAGTTTGAATGAAACAATTTCAGGCTGACTAAAATCTGTTTTCATATATTGAAAATGTATCTGTCTTTAATACCACTGACCCATATCCACTGGTCTGAAAGACGAGCTGCTCTACATCTTGCCCACTTACAGCAGTGTGACAAGCTAGCAGCGGCAGCAGCATTAATCTGGAATAATGTCTAATGCCATTATACAGTCTAGGTGCATCGTGACTCATCTCGTGCCAGCTCATTAATCCTGGCAGACCAACATTGTGTTAACAAACACAGCTTCATTGTGCACTCAACTGACTCCCTTCATTTCACCAACACTTCCACGTCCTACTGGCCCTGTGGTGAAATGCAATTTTATGTTGCGATGCTGCGACCCAGATATGTGAACATAGGGTGTTTCCAGTTAGAGCATTGTCATTAAAAAGGAACAGACGTTTCAAAGAAACACTGTAAATGACAGGGTCACACCTGAGAACTGAGAAGACTCGGGCCATTTTCCCCACAGCACGAATCTTGTTCCGGATCACCTCCTTACGCATCGCTGAGGTGCCACCTGGGAACAGTTCCAATGGGAAGGTTAAAACACAGTACGCTGCTGATTCCACCCTTTGCTACTGATTCCTAGTACTTAAGAAGCTAGTGGTCAAAATGAAAAAAAAAATGCTGCATAAAAGACTAATGAGAAGAGAACAAAGAATCAAGGGTTAATACATCTGAGAGATGAAGTGTTTCAGAGTACAGCAGCTGTACTTCAGGGAGCACAACTCTCTCATCAACACCAGACGTGTGACAGAAGTTGAATTATGATGAAGTGCTGCGTATAAATCATGTTCCAGCATTCTATGTCAAGTAAGAGTGTGTCAGGACTCATTTGCCATTCATCGAGTTTAAAAAACACATTAAAAATTTGATTTGCAAAAGAACCAGAAATGGTTGTGGAGAAATGATCCAAACACTGTAGATGTACACAGATGAGCAGATACACTATATCTATACAACTTTTACATCAAAGCAACCATTAATGTATATTTAGTTCTGATAAATATCGAAGGACAAAAATGTGTTATAGTAATACTGATACTTGTTTCTGGTCAGGACAGTAATGTCTACGAGCAGTATATTCACCATCACAGTACATTTATAGTACATTAGGTCCTAGTCACAAAAGCTAATGTTAACCTCTTTAAACTAACATAGTGAAAGCTCTTAATCCTGAGCTTGGTGTCACTCATAGTGTACTTAGCAGGCTAACGTCTTGTCATTCAGGCCTTGTTCACACATACATGGGTATTTTTTTAAACAGGTTTTCCTTCATCGTTCTCAAACAAAATCTCTGTCCACATCATGCAAAAACAAAGCTGAAGTCAAGAGTATGCCAAAACAACAGGCGGTAATATAACCTTAATCCTAAAGTCAGGATGGCCAGTCAAAAGCCTGAAAAAACACTATTACTGCTTTCAGCAGGCGACCAGCAATGGAGGGAGGGAATCATGTTTGTGGATGTTTCTGATGCCTCTGTTTGTAAATGTAGTGGAACAGTAATTGTACATTTATGTACAAACATGTAAAGAGTCTTTCTAGGAACATCAACACTACTTTTGCCAAATCCACCACTGCACAAAATCACACCATGTAAATAAAGGAGATAATGCTGCTCATACTGACTCTCACAAGTCAAACTCCATCCTCTCCTTATCTACATATCAATACTGCAAACACAATTGCAGTCTGAATATCTGTAACCTAGAAGGAGTTTTAAAAAAAGAATAGTAAATGTATCATGCAGCCTGGATCACATTTACCATAAGGTATAATGATGGTATTAGATGGCTCGTTTCCATTTTCGACAAATTTACTACCAAACTACTACCAAAACCAAAAGAAGGGATCAAACAATATAGTGCAAATTTTTGGGCCAATACGATGCATACCAGGGACACCGCCCCACTACAAATGACCAGATAAAAAGTAGTTCTCAAACACAATATTAAATTTGACTTAATTTTAACAAAATAATAATGAAGTTCATAATAATGTTGGTATTCTTTTGCCATATTAACAATATTTGTGTGATTAACAGATTTGAAATTAGTCCTTACTGTGTGTTTACTAATTTTACACTTCCTGGATGCAGGGCACTGGCCACATGAGTGTGTACGTAGCTCGTAACAGCATCTACCACAGCCTGCTACGGGTAGTGTCTATCGATAAGAAAATGTTCAGCAAGTCGTATGTTTTTCCTGTGACCAGGTGGGCAGTGCGACCAAATGAGAAAGATGGTCTGGAGCCCTGAATAGTGTTTTTTTCATTATTTGTGTTGTGTGTTTTGAGTTTGTACAGATCCTGTAAATATTGATGAAAGTTTGATGAATGGTTTTGAAATTTAGTTCTGGTAAGTCTTAATAAATTAGATTATGATTAGAATATCCTCCAAAGGTAGAAAACTGGCATTCCTGTAAATAGTTGTGCCCGATGTTACTGATATTCTAAGTTCTGATTTAAAATAAAAGGTCATTTGCAGACTGTGTAACCAATCAGATAGACAGACCCCTGTTGTAGAGACTACCGATAGACACTCAGCTGCATGAGAGAATCGCATTTACAAATTCTTTTTTTTTTTTTTATGGGGAATGGGTTAAAAAAATAACAATAAGGATAAGCAGACAAAAATTGAACATCAGATTGGATAATCATCCGGGCTTATAATCAAACCCCTAATCAAAAAGGTCTGAGTGCATATTCTCGTTCTTTTAAATGTACCTTCATATAGGTCGTCTCCCTCTGACATGAGCTCGTCGTCAGAGCAGATGTTCAGTACATTCACCAGCATCTCCGTCACTGTCGGGGAGAGAAGCCACAAAACAACCTCAGACTGGTACCAAACAAATGTCTGTGGCCAGTTTGTGGTGTTGCCTGTCCTCATTTTGACTGTTTGTTATATCTAAAAAGGAACACGTTTATAGCTTATTCAACTTAAATGTCATTAAACAGAATTTTCTGAAAGGTATAAATTGATGTAATTTGTGATGTTCTCCTGATGGCTGCTACAGAATCAACACACTTTTTACAATAAAAAAGACTCAAGCAGTAAAGTCCCCAAAATGCCCTATTTGCAAACGCATGCAGTAACAAAGACATTATGCACTTGATCATTGTCATTTCCATCTTGTCAGCTGTTGGGCTGCTGTTTGCCACTTTAAGATTTAGATGTGGACGTTTCTAAAGAATACAGGAGCAGAAAAATGTAGTAAATTGGCAAAAAAAAAAAAAGCAAAGTATTTATTTTTCAAAAGAACTCCTGACTCTTGAGTGATTTACAGAGAGAAAGCAACATATAACATGTTATTGTGAATTGTGTTCATCTCTCTTTGTTAAAATTCTACCAGCTGTGTTCTGAATGAACAATGAAGAAGTGCAATTTACCATAAACTGGCCCACTTTAGAATTCACTGCTATTCTATAATTTAACAGAAATAAAAAGACTCTGGACAGGTCTGGATATTCTACAAAGCCATTGGATCATAGACAACTCAATGCAGCATTTATTTTTAGCTTCCCATCTACATTTTCCCTTCCAAACAACAAACATACCTTTTTCTCCAACAAAAGGCAAAGACCATGTGAAGACATCCATAAAGTTGGGCAACCAGTAAGGGTGGGGGGAGCAGTTGAACTGCCGAATGTTCATCACGTTATTTTCATATTTTAATACAGCAGCTAGGATTGACAGAGGGAAAGAGATGGGAGGAGAGATTCAAGGACTGAAGCCTGGTAAATACAAGAACAACAGCGAGAGTGAGAAAAAAAAGATAGAAACCTTTGTTGTTGTAGACGTCTAGGTAATTTGGAGCTGAAAAGATTGTGATTAATGAAGGGAAGCCTGTGGTCTGGCTTTTTCTGTACATCCGATACCTGCACAGCCACAAATAGAAACCCTCATTACGCACATTCTACAATAAAATATGCTGAAAACTCATTTTTTAAATATCACTTACCCTGCATCTTGTGCTTCATGGGCTCTTATTACGGACAGCAAGTTATTATTTACCAAAAAGTCACAGACTGCCGAGTAACTGCAGAGAGAAAGAGAACCAGAGAGAAAGAAGGCAGACCTGTTAAACCACTGAGTGGAGGTCAAAGCTTATTCCAAACTTAAACCATTACAGGAACTGCATGATGCCACTTAAGACCAATTGCCAATTGACTGTTTTTGGCCAAAGGAAAATACTTTCATATTTATTTTCATCATGCTGTGCTTTCTGGCCTGTTGGGCTGAGGGTTTAAAGATGCTGAGTGTCCAGAGGCAGAACTCTGAGCATTTATGGGCTCCAAAAAGTTGAGAACTAAAGCCAGAAGAAAAGCAGACAAGCTCAGCTGGATGAGGCTACTTTAGGGTACTACGAATCCATTAGGGAAAGCTCAAGATATATTAGTGGGGGTACACAGATGAGCATCACGCCAAGATGAATGTGTTACTACCTCTATGGATTTAAGATCCTGCAGGATTCAGCTGAACCAGGCATTTGTGTCCTACTTAAGTTCAAACCGCTAGCTGGTCTCAACTTGTGAGTAACTCAATGGGGTCACTGAATCTTCAGAAAATAAAGGTTAACTCATAGGTTTTTTTCAGGCCAAACATCTACATTAATTGTTAGTAATCAAGGAGACCAATAACTGATATCTAGAACTGATTTACATTTGCAGTAAAAACCAAAACCTTGGTGACAAACTTCAGAATAACACAAAACTTTGCTGAAATGCCTTTGTTTATTTGTTCTAAAAAGAGAACCTTTCAACATCTGTCCTTAAATTTTGATTGGCTATTACTCGAGGCACATAATAAATCAGTTAGTGCTGCAGGCAGGACAAGCTAAAGCCCACAGACAGAGAGAGGACATTTATAAATTCATGTATTTTATTGAGAATCCATTTAAAGAAATAACAATACCCATAACTAGAGGTAACTACACTGAGTTAAGTGACATAATGTGGTCATACAGGCTAACACAGGACAACATTTTAGCATTTGAGGCATCTTGTGTTATTTTTGTGAAATGAAACTTCTCACTTCACAGTATTATAGAACAGCATTTTAATGAAGCATCAACATTAACCAATCACCTCTTTCATATTTTGTTCCAAATCGGTGGCTAATATGGCAGGAAGCTGACACTGCTGTTGCTAGTCAGCTTAGTCAGCAGTAATTGGGCGCAGAGGTGCTATAAGCTAAATGCTAACTAGCGCTGAATAATCTGGGGAAAGCTTTGATTGAGAGTGAGACTGCAATTTGAATTACAGTATCAGTTTTTAAAGCAAAGTTAAATATTAACAGTAAATTTACATGTGAAAGAACATTACACCAATGAGATACCATCAAACACATAACTGTCCTATAAGTAGGTTGCCATGAACTTGTGAAACCCCTGACACAACGGGTTTTAGGTGTCAAACACGCTGGTTGCATTGTTTCAAATCACAATTCAAAATGTTATTAATCATTCAGTCCCAATGCTAACTGACATCAGCAGTGTTTACCATTTTCTTCAAGTTCAGTTTAGAACATGCTAATATTTACGAGTTAACACTAAACACGGATGTGTAATGCTCATGAGAATGCCTTTAGTTTTGCAGGTCATAAACTCAAGTGATATTTTGGCGTGATGATGAAAATTAACAGGATCAACAACTTTGCTATAATTTATCTTGAAGGAAAAATGAACACCAAAATATATACAGAAAAGAAAAAAAAACTGCCTCCTGACGTTAACATATTGTAATGTTTGCCAGAGCAGGTGCTATTTTGTTTAATTACAATAACTGCTTGACTTTTCTTTCCTATTCTAAACAGCCCTTCGTGTCTTTTAACCTTTAGAATTGCACATAAGTATTTGCTATTGTGCTATTAAGTTGAGTAATTTGAACCCATTTTCACATTTTATTCTGTACAATCTCTTTGCATCTGTTAACCTATTTTGTAAAGTCATATTGAATGTGTTAACCTATTTTGAACAAGCTGTTTTTATCAGATAACCAGTTTTGAGAGGGCCATTTTTGAAACTGCCTCAATAAACTGTTTGACCTACAAAAAAGTGAAGCACCATCCTCTGACCTGTGTGATGCAGTCCACTTTACATCCCATTATCATATGTCCTTGTCTTCGTATTTGTTTGAGATTAGTCTACGGAAAGCGCTCCACAACTGGATGAAATCACTGTTTTTATTTCAACACAAGTGCTGCATTTGTATCCCTCTGGTACTGGTGCAGACTATTTCTGTAGAATTAAGCTGCATCAGAGGTGAATCAGTTTAATTAAATAATTAATACCTGAAAAAGTAGGAGCAGCCTCTGACGGAGTTATGATTGAAGTGTTCAGAAGTCTTTTCACTGCCGTAGTCCTCACCAGGGTCAGCCCAGATCAGGTCGCACATTGGCCCAAATGCTGGAGGCTCTTTAAACCTGTCTAACTGTTGAGTACACAACACAAACACACTTAGCAGAGATACGGTATGTTTTGAATCAACTTCTTACAAGCAGGAAACCATAATACTAAAAGGAAATTTAATTTTGCCAATGTAATCTTAGACCAATAAAACCAGTTAAAATAAATCAAATCAAGCCATGGAGACTCACAGATCTTCAGTTTTGCCTTTGCAGTACTTTGACACTACTTCATATGTCAGTGGGGATCACTTACTTTCCGTATGTCATCTAGGCAGTTAATTTCTGGTGAGAGTCCGCCATGTACACACAGGAACTGTTGGTTGAGTAGGGCAGCAAGGGGCAGGCAGTCAAAGGCCTCCATACAGGCGTCATACACCCGTTCAGAGTATTTAATTTTACCTGCAGCAAAAACATAGCAACAAACACAAAATACTGCTCACTTTGTGTAGTAACACAAAACTATTTTGTAATGCTTGCTGTCTGCTGTATCTGCCTATTATAGTATCTATGATCAAATGTTTGCCAGAGGTGTTATGAACAAGTAGAACAGCTCCTCTGCCAACAGTAGGACTGATGATTGTTTCCAGGCAGTTTCTGCAGCGCTGCCTGCAGAACGCTGCAGGTCAGATGAGGTCGGAAGGAAGCTGACTCCTTATAGGGCACAAGCAGCAAGGACAGTACAATGTGTGGGACGAGTGAACGCTGCAATCAAGCCACAAAAGTATGCAGGAATGAGCTTTGTACTTGAAATAAATGTGGATAATTAAGTTTGTGGAAGTCTACATTTAGTGTCGACCCCTGTTTTACTTCGAAATTACACTTAATGAGAATAATGAGACAATTCACTATATGACTGTTTCTGCCTAATCCTTCTAAAGTGTAAACTTGGTAGGAGACTAAATACAGTTTTTGCAGTTAGAGAAAGTGGAAGTGACACTATCTATCTATCTATCTATATCTATATCTATATCTATATAAAAACACATTTTTAAAATGTATTTATTTGATTATTTATGTGTTTTTGGACTAGGAGGATATTGCTTTAGTGAAAACCATCATCAGCCCCTTTATCAAACTCCCGGTTATGTGACCTTATGTCTTTTTTGAAGAAAACTTTGACTGAATGAGTCATTATTGCGATTTTATACACATTTCTTATTCCTCTCTTTAAAGTCGATGAGCGTTTCTGTATTTATATTCTGTTTTCTCAGTATGCCACTTGTATATCAGTATTCACTGATCTTCTAGTTTGTCTTTTTTCATTGCAGTTTTAATAAAATAATAGCCTTTAATTTTTGGTATCGTTGGTATCTGTTATGCTTCAAAGCATCAACTCAGTATGATTTCTGCAGGGTGCACAGAGTTTAACTTTAAGACCTTTTCAATACCACTTGAAAAAGCATGGTGGAATACAAGCAGGGCTAATGTAGCCTAGGATTCTATATTAACATTTCTTTTTTTTCAGTACTTCCCAGCAGTATATAACAACAGCTCCTAATTCTACTACTAAGTATCAGAATGAATGCAACCTTAAAAAATAGGGCATTAATAATAATCAATACTGACTGCAATGTAACATCTTATCATTATTTTTTAGCTGTATCACCAAACCTTTTGTTGAAATGCTTTAAACTTGCAACATCTGATCTCTGAAAGGAATCCAGCATTTGAGTAAATGTGATCGCAGTGCTGGTCTGGTTAGTCTACTAAGCTGCGTTCAAACTAAACTAGAGCAAGATGCATCACATGGAGTCAGAAAGTGTTAGACTCTTTTTTTACTGAATGTAATTTTGCTGCTGCATAAAGACAAAAGTGCCAGACAGGTGGGTAATCTAAAATTTAGCCAGTGACATTAGTGATTATTTTTCTTACTTCTACTACTTTATCTGCTGATTTAGTTTACACACATGCTCTTGACTGCTTTCACAGTGAAAAAATAGATATCCAAATCTCAAAGTCCACCACAATCCAAACTATCTTCCAAACCGCTAACAAGAACGTGTGTGTGTGTGTTGATGCGGTGGTATGTGGGTGTGTGTGGGTGAAGATGTAGTAAGTGAAATCCATGTGCATTTGGTAAGGCTTTGTCTTTGCTGTCTGCCAAAGTGTCTTTGTCTCTGAGTTTGCATACTAATACAACCCGACTTGCTCTGCGCACACACAGAGATAGATTCACGCACGCAGCTGTCACAGACTGAAAAAATCAGTGTGTGTGTAACTGTCTGAAACACATCAACAGCATGCCTGGCTGCTCTCCATGCTCCGGCAGTTGATCATCTACAACATGAAAAGGAAAAGCCTTCTTCTCCTCTGTGGGGACTGTAATGCTAATGAACTGCCACATCTTGTGACGGGACTTCCACGTTCTACACACACTTTGTGACAAACATGTCCTACTTGTGGGAAGCTAGTCATGTTATTAAGAAGAATCTGTCATCAGAGGTACCGCACTTCTTTTTCTCTGACATGGAGCTCAACTTCAAATTCCTACATTTCTCAAAAAAGGTGTTTTTCAGTTTCTCATTTGTATGTGTGCTATGTGAACTTGAAAAGACCAAAAGACCTAAAAAAAATAATAAAATGCCTGACAAATTTGGGAAAATATCAAATTGCAATTTTTATGACTGACATTGCAGACTGACTTGCAATCCTTTTTTTAAAGTTAAGCTTTTCTGTGTGATACTAAAATGTGATTGAGCACCACCGCATTAGATATCATCAAAATCACCTGACTGACATGTCTGTTGCACATGGAGGATGCATGTATTTGTTAAAGACTTGACACAACAGTTTAAACGCTGAGTCAGACGCTGCATAACGTACATCCTAAATTTCAGCCTTTGCTAAATGCATCATTGTAATATGCAAATTCAATTGAAAATCGACTAAATGCCAACGTAATTCTGCACTCGCACTACAAATACCATACCTTATGCCCAGGCTTTGTCAGAAATCTGAGACCTCATTGATGCAGACCATTGTGAAGTGCTAAAGAGAGCATAGGAGCACATTACACTAGCCTTCCTAAGGCTGAGAGAGGCCCTGCACTTACATTCCTGTTTGAAGGTGAAGTACTCTGTGAGGTGCCGGCACTCATGGTTCCCACGCAGGAGGAAGAGTGTGGTGGGGTGGTTGATCTTGAGCGACCAGAGGTAGAGAACACACTGGGAGGAGAGACAGAGACAGAGGGAGGGAGAACACAGGAAAGGAAAAGGCAGTGATGTGACAATTACAGCATTTAGCGTAGAATGATATATGACAGAGAAAAGCTGCAAATGTTCAGACATGCTGGAACCAGAGAATGATTGGAGCTTTAGCCTGAAAAATGACTCAACCAAATTAGCAAACTTGCTCATAGGTTATCTGTCAGTCAACTCATTGATTAATCACTTAATTGTTTCAGCTTAATCACATAAATGGCCGCCAGTGACAATTTGTCAAGCACAACATCATCTCAGCATAGAAAAAGACCAATTAAAGTCAAATTTGCAGGTGAGGAAAATTGACTCCTGAGGTTAAGTGGCACAAACCTGCCACCACGTATCACACACTGACACACACATACTCCTGTAGGCCCAGCTATCTGCAACAAATCTAACAAAAAGCACCAGACTTGAAGGTCTTGTTAGACTCAATGTTTGCTCAGCAGACGGTATAAGTTGTTTTATAGCTGCGTTCTTCACATAAAGACTGTCGGTAGCAGCTTTTAATGACTGCAGCTCTGTGAATATTTTCAAATGAAAAAAAATGACGTCCTCCCACACACTTGTCTCCTCTTTATCAGTTGTTTATGTTTCAGTGTTACTCTGTTCAAGTGACCTTGATCAAGACAAGTTAGCTTAACTACCATTTATGCATCATATTGCAGCAACAGTCTACAGAGGATTTTAATAAAATGGAAGTGTGCCATTACAGGCTCCAAACACACACATACAATTAACTATGGCATGATGAAGAGGGATTTGTTTCTCCTTCAGCAACATTCACCATATCAGAAACCATAGGATGTTTCCCCTCTGATCTATATATATATTTGAAAAACAGACCAGCATTTACAATCCAAATCTAATTGCTTCCTCTTCAGTGCTCAGAAAAGCTTCCACTTGAGTCTCTGAGCCCCCTGTTTCAACATACATCAACTTTGGCCCGCTATTAAGTCATTGGAACAAGGTCCCAAGGTAACCAGAGCCAGCAGGTGTGTATTCAAGTTAAAACACAAAGGGGGGGGGGGGCACAACTGCCTTGTCTTATTCCCTTCCACTGTTGAGAGGACTATCGAACTGTCAAGTACAGGTAAATGTGTTGAGGGGGCTGTCGGTGTGACTTGATCCCTTATGTGTAGAGGCGGAGAAAGGGACATGGCTTGGAGTGGCTGGAAGCTGACATGGGTTTTAATGAGAGCCCTCTGCACTCTTTTAGCCAGCCACTCTGCGTTGGAGCCTGGAGTGGGGGAGGAAGACAAAGGAAATGGCACAAAGCTTTGTGTGGCAACATGAACACTGGCTACCTTCGCCTCAAACCCAGATACACACACACACTTCAGCCTATGCCCGGTGTGTGCAGGGGCGAGGCTGGAACGAAGGGAGTCAGTCCACCGACACACTCTCTTGGATCAAAGAGAATTCGCTAAGTAGATAAAGAAGAGCACACAGAGTAAAACGGATTGCTCACATTCACTGAATTTAGACTCTGACAAATTGCTGGCGAGCAATGGTACAACACGGTGATTCTTTAAGTTGCCTTGGTAACCACATCCTGATACCCATTTTGCTCTATCTGTCCTATGTGCTATTGAAGTGAGCTCTGTGGCCTTTAAAATGAAGAGAACTTTCAGTGCTGCTATTGAGAGTCAATGGCTATAAATCCGGAGCTTTAAGACTTTTGTATTGTCTTGTAGGTCATAGAGTCAATATTGTAGTTGTTTGGCTACAGTCATGACTTTGCCCTGATAGGAGTAATATCTTAACTAATGGACAGCTGTTCACTGCTGATTATTTCCATTATTGACTACAATTAGACATTTACTTTCTACATTAATCCATTCATCATTTTAGTTTGTAAGATGTCAGAACAGCATTATTCTTCTGAGCTCAAGGTGGCATCTTCAAAACTGTGACTTTTTTCCAAACGTTAGTCCAAAACACAAAGGGGTTTGCTTGTTATGTTAAACAACAGAGAAAAGCAGAAAACTGTGATGTTTTTTTAACCTGAAGTAGTCATGTGTCTTTAAAAATTACTTTAATGATAGCAAAAAAAATAAAAAAAAGTCAATCAAGTAATCAATCGTTTCGGCTCTACCAATCAAAAGAACTTTGTAATCACTGCTTATGTGTAAGTTACGAGCAACCATTTTGGCTTCTCTCCCTTGCTGATCACAGTTTATCTTTGGTAAGGACTTTTCAGTCACAGACTATATTTGATTTGTTTTTTTATAGCTGCTGCTTTGTTTGTTTGATTACTGTATTAAGTGATGCAAAACTGTATGGAGTTGAAGTGTAAGTATTTATTTACTTTTTTACCAGACTAATATTGGTCTTGTAGAGCCAGGAAGAGTGTTCTTCTCTAGCCACCAACATAGCTCAACATCTGTCCTCCTGTGCTGCTCTGGCCAGGACTAGTTTGTTCTAGTCAGCGCTTTGTTTTTGTTATCCTTTGGTTTTTTGGGAGGCCGAAGATCCCATTAGGCCCTCACCCAAGGCATTGGTAGGGGAAACACTGTATGCCATATAAGTTGAGCCAATGTCAGGCACTCCTTAAAAAGAATGAACCAGACAGTATATTCACCGGCCAAATGACTGGTCCCTTTGGGTAGTATTTTTAATTATATTGGGATAATTGCTTGACTGCAAATTATGTAAGCTTCCAGTGTGTGTTCTACTACTTTTAATTAGCTGCTCCATGTTAGATCTGGCACAGTGCTGACAGCAGGATGTACACTCCTCTCTGATCACAACCGTGCTCCAGCTCCTCCTCCGGGGTGGAGGAGCTCTACAGTGACACTGATAGCCGCTGTGGCTCAGACAAGCTAAACTGTTTTTCAAGTGGCATTAAGGTTAACCACCTCTTTTGGGTTGAAAGTGCTTCAAGTGTCACTTTTCACAGGATATAAATGTGAAAACAATCACAGTGGCAAATTTTGGAGTCTTCAATGGACATAAATCTACCTACATCACCATCAGCCTCCTATTCCTTATTCTGTTTCAATCCCCTCCTTTCATCTCTGACATTTTAGCCACATCAATGCAATATCGAGTGTCCATCCAAAAGCCCCACAGGGAGGTTAGAGTGTTAGCACACCGTTTTGTTAACTCTTACAAAGATCCCACTAGACACCGTACTTGCTAAAAATATGTTAAAACACTTGAAGGGATGAATCCAGACAGCGTAACTGCTTGAAGGCAAAAAAAAAAAAAAAAGAATATGTTGTGAGTATCTACCTTTTGCACCAGTCACGTCAAAAGCATATATTTCTCCTAATCATTTTTCCTAAAAGCGTGCTTTCTCCCCAATGTTGGACATACAATGATTTTTTATTTTTTTTTAGAAAGTGAAGTGAGCTGAGACATTTCTTATTATTTAAAACTTGTAGTCTTAAACCCCAAGCATGAGTAGTTTCCTATACCTGTAAGATAACTTCTGGATTGTAAAATCAATACTGATTCATGACCTCACTACAAGGTCTCATGTTCCACAACAAGGACTAAAATCCGATAAAGCCCTTTAAAGCACTTGTAGGAACAATTTGAGAAGAACAGAAGAATTCTAATGTGGAGTCATATTCAATAAAGAAGTGATTGTTAATACTGTACTTCACTGTGAGTCAGAATAAATGACACTAAAGCTTGAGATTCACACTACTCCCACAAGGTACCCTAATTTTTTTTTTTTTTTAACAAATCTAGATCAAGACTCTTTCCTTGCCATCTGGTGCGACTTCTGCCAACTTTTTTGTGAGCATCAGTGCTGACATAGTTCTCAAAGAACACTTCAGTGACTATATTTTTCATTCCGGTTAAGTAAGTACAACAAATCTGTCTTGAGCAGAAAAACTGTTTTCCATGTAACACATATAAATAATAGGTAAAATACAATTGTTAGGAATATACCTTTTTTACCCATGAAACTGAGTCACCATTTTAACTGACATGAATCCAAACACATAACAGTCACAACCCTCCAGCCAGGGACCTCAATAGGAAAACTGCAATGTACTTTGTGCAGTCAGACTGCTGCTCTCTGTTTAAATCCTTCATCTTATTTTTAACCGTTCCAATAAGTATCCATGAACTGTGCCCTTTAAAGGTGTCACTGAAATAGAAATTCACACAGCAAAATCCTTTCGCCAATGAGCACTACAGTAAGATTTGAAACCAGTACTGTCGTAGTACTTAGCCATTCTCACCACAGGTAACCGTCTTAATCACCTTGAGAGTCAGCACTTGAGAAACACCACCACTATCCAGTTTGTTTTCATTACATCAACTCCTTTCAGTTTGACATGCAGCCAGTGGTAATAATTCACATGCACTACACTACGAGGGAGTGTCAGAAGCCAACCACACACTAACAAGATGCCAGTTTACACTAAGATCAGATATTATGGCAGCCTAACCTGCAGCTAAGGTAAATATATCAGCTGTCACCCATTGCACATCATTGCCAAAGAGCTGTGACAATAGACATAACCATATCACACTGTTCAGTGTCCAATACTGAATGTTTGAGTTGGTACATTTATCATTTTGCCAGAAACCAGTTTGTTTTCTCTACAGTAGAGATGAATGAGAAAAGGATTTAATTTTATATGATTTTAAATGAAAAGTTTAAACATGAAAATAAATCTACAGAATCAATTTCTGCTCGAATGAAAATGTAATCAATTAAGCAATGGGACGATGAATATTTCAGTTCCACAAGTTATTAAAACGCAATAGTACAACAACTTACCTCAATACTGAAGTATCCTCGATCTACGTAGTCACCAAGGAAGAGATATCGTGTGTTACTGGGTGATCCTCCCACTTCAAACAACTTCATAAGGTCAAAAAACTGTCCATGGACATCACCGCATACTGCCAAAAGACAACACAAAACAATTAGAGAAAAAAGGAATAAAAAAAACAAACAGCCATGGATGCAAATAGCCAAAAGAAAACTTCTACATTTATTAAACATTAACATTCCATTCAATCCATCAAATCAGGATTTAACTCTAAACTTAATTCACAGACAATCCATTATGTCAATTTTGTACAAGGTTAATCATAGAAAGCAAGTGCGTTTCCTGACCCTGACGATGAGTGGCATCTGTAATAACAGCAAGGATATTAAAAATATGGACGTGGCAGTGCCAGCCTAATTTGGTTCAGATAATTCAACTGATGCGACCCGACTGCTTTGTAGTAACATCCATAGCAATTTAATTAGGCTTTTCCAAATAGATTCCATGCATCAACTGAATTAATTGGTATAACAAATGGTGTAACAAACATAAGCGTGGTAAATACTTTTTGCAAATGTTTAAGGTATTATTACACAACAACTGACCTCTGAATACTTTTCAGTCCTAATGAAGTTCATTCTGCAGTTAGCATCCTCATATTATCCCATCTGTGAGCTTCACAGGTTGTACTGGCTGCTCAAATCAACCATATAGCCAAGCAAAGACATTTTGTCACACTGGCTCTCCCCCAGGATTTTGGCCATAATTTAAGTGAGAAAACATGAGAAACAAAGGATCATATTTTATAACAGCTGGTCCCAAAGGTCAGCTAAGAAGGAACAGATATTTGTCAACAACTGAGATGATTAAGTCGACACTGAAAGCCTGCAAGACCCTTTGATCTGGCACAGGAGTGAGTGTACACCAGCTGCCAGTATACAGAAGCAGCACTGCAAAGGAATAATGCTGAAGTAGGTGGTGTGTTTACTCCTTATTTACCACGCTTTCTCTGATGTCTGGAAATGACATATAACCTGCATGCAACCGTTTCTTCCTTAAAGTATTTAGAACAGAAGCAGTGGAAGAACTGAACTGTCTGCTGAACCACTCTGTGCAGGAGACTTGACACAATGTGTATACTTATGTTTCAAAGGTTAAAGGTCACGGTCAGCTGCAGAGAAGCCCTGCTAATACCTAAAGGGATTTGGTGTCTTGTTTAAGGAAGCAGAACAGGTGGGTGGGCAATAATATATGGAGTCTGTACTCTGGACCTCTCCTCATACATAGCTGAAAATAATGGCATGTGCAATACATGACACTAGGAGTTGACTAATTAGCAGCCCAGCTGACTATCTGATCCAATATGCAGCATTACTGGTAGTTGTTTTTTTAAGCGAATAAAGTAAAAAAAAAACAAAAAATAAAAATGCGCTACTTTCACTCTGATGTTGCTGCATCTCTCTCTATCCATTTTCACTCTGTAATCTTGATCAATGTCCCGAGTATCCTACAGCCTACTACCACTGGAGAGCTTACCACTAAATGTTAGTAAGCTCTCTTTTAATTAAGATACGTGAAACATAAATAAACAGAACAAATTCTATGAAGTTTTGTGAAGGCGTTTGCGTTATTCTACATTTTGACACCAAGATTTATATTTTTACTGCAAATGTGCATCATGGGGCTGCGAGATGGCATAGTGGTTAGCATCGTTGCCTCACAGCTAGAAGAGCCCCGGTTTGCGTCCCAGTTAGGACACCTGGGATCTTTCTGAGTGGAGTTTGCACGCTCTCACTGTGCAGCGTGGGTTCTCCGGGTTCTTCGGCTTCCTCCCACACAGTCCAAAAACATGCTGGGGTTCATTGGTGATTCTAAATTGTCTGTTGGTGTGAATGTGAGTGAGCTTCTCTGTCTCTGTGTAGCCCTGTGATAGACTGGTGTCTTGTCCAGGGTGTCCCCTGCCTTCGCCCTGTATCAGCTGTGATAGACTCCAGCCCCCCGCAACCCTAGCAAGGATTAAGGGGTGTGTAGATGATGGATGGATGCGTATCATGCCCAAATATTGCTTACTGGTCTCCTTGGTTAACAATAATCAGTATTGGGCCTAAAAAAAACATATTGTTGCACCTCTACAGTCTCTTCGGTCCCCTGGTGGGTATCTGCCAGCCTACCTGTTATAGGTGCCTCCACTTCCAGCATGCACTTCTCTTGACGGAGAATGTTGGCTCCGTCATTGATGATCCTGAGAGCCACGTCCTCCTCCACCCTGCCCTCCTTGACAAGATGGTTGCGAAGCAACTCAGCATTGGGCTTGCCATCTTCAAATAGCTCCTTTATAGTGAGCTTATGTTGTGGAGGGTATGGCACAGCTACAGAGAAAAAATCAACACAATTTGTTAAGATAAGCAGGTCACAGCAAACTGCGAGGCCCCGCTAGGGAGGCATGTGAGAACTGGAGGAGAGAGATGTGAGGCATGCGCCACAGTTTTCCACAAAACTGCTCCCTGGAGTCATAATTCTGTCAAATCTGAACAGAGACATGATGATAATCATATTTATCACATGTTACATACAGTGTGACTAACTTTTCTGAGAATATTATTGTATCTCCTGAATATACACAAATACACTAATGAACCATAGAATAATGACAATCTATATAACTAGACAACTTGCTGGAGTATCACCATGTTTTTATGTTTTGTTCTTTATCAGTGTGATCCAGGGATAGTTGTCTTCACACCCATAGGCACATTACAGACAGGAAGTGCTAACAATTAATTCTTCATACTTGTAATGGTGCTAACTTGCCAAATATAGGCTCAATAACAGGCCTCAAACTGGAGCCCACAACTAACTAAAGTAATGGGCTCCCCAGCAACCAAATCTTGCTGTTTTCATTTGCCAAAGCCTCGAAAATATTGCAATTTTGACTGCAATAAGACTTGGAATTTAACCACTTCTCTTGTCCATTTACTTGAGATTTGTGTTGGAAACAAGGGCTTTATTGTTACCACTCATAGTTTCAACTAGCATGCCTTTCAGCTTGAACGTTCAAGTTAAAAAAAAATTCAACATAATCAAGAGACAAACAAAGTGCTACTCTGAAAGAAAAGATGTCACTCTCATCGTACAGGTAATATTTGAGAAGATATAAGCTCAGAGAGAACTGTCAAGGAAAATAAATATTCTGCATCTCAGGCTGCATTTACTTAAGCTGCAATCATGAGCTGATATTTGCATTGACGGAGCCAAGATGAAGCCAGTGGCACAGGAGGAGGGACGCATACACCTACATGATAACGCCATGTGAGAGATGTACAAGACAGACAGACGGAAGGAAGCCTTGTGCCTCACTTGACCCACCCTCTCTCAGTAAGCTGCTCCACACCACCTACACAATCCTTTTGCCGTCATCATAAAAGGTCACTGCTTTTGAGGCTGAGACCTGAGTGCTTCATGATCAAAACACAACTAAGTGTGCAACAAGTAAAACTGCAAAATTTATCACAGAGAATCCAGCAGTAGGACAGCAGTGCAGTTACGGCAGTTTGCAAATTGTGTAAACATTAACTACACATTAAATGAAGACAGCCATTTCCTACTTTAAAAATACACAGTCATTTTTTAATGCAACTTATGACATGAGATCAAGAAAGCAGGTTTTAATCCAATTCTCCAGAATGGAACCTTAATGCAGTGAACTATATTAAGTGTTAATTGTGGAGATTAGTACTCTTACATTGGCAGCAGCTTCATTCGTTCAAACAGCTTCAGGCAGATAGTTGCCGACTAATCTGCACTTATTCACAACAATAGTAGAGTGTGGTCCAAGGCCTCTCACTCCCAGGGCCTGTGAGGTAAAAGGGATTACTGCAATATGCCTAATAACAGGCCAGGCACACACAAAATGCACCATGCCACCAATTTAGTATGGTGTAAAGGTAGTCTGTTGCACTGCCTGTAAGGCATACAGAACACCATGGTGCAAACACCACATAAGAGTTATTTAAAAAAAATGTCTTTCAACAGCTAAAAATGGGAGCATAAATAAACAGGGGCAACCTTGCGCATTACACACTTTTACTGATGATTTCATCCTGGATTTGTGATATCATCCAGATCCACCTGCAGGTCAGTCCACAGGATACCCTGTGCCATCAAATGTGACATAAAGACCAGTATCAGCTTGTGCAGATCAGCACTACTTGTGCGATAAAGCAGTGCCAGTGGCAATGAACAAGAAAAAGAGAGAGAGGCATAAAAGAGAGACAGGCATTCTGTGAATGTTGTCACACCCACACAGAGCAAATCAAAGTACAATATGAAAAGAGCATTAATGGGTTTTTAGTGTGGGTGCATTTACTAATCAGTGATGCAGTGCCTGAGTGCAGAGGAAGCCAAATATATTTGTCTCTTAGGTTTGTGTCGCAGTCTGGATTTGGGAAACATACAAGCTGATCCAATGAGGTTTTTATAGCAAAAGCAAAGTACAAAAAATATCTGACATGTTTTCTTGTTTTTTTTTTTTTATTGCTGGTGCAATAAAGTAAAGGCTATGAATACGGAACTGTAGGTTGTGCTTGACTCTGAGCAGAAGGTACAGGTAACTGATTGTGGTTAGGCCACAGACCTACAGCCTCGCCTGCAGTGGAAAAGCTAGAGCACAGCTCTAACTTGGCTAGTCTGTGCTGAGGACAAGCTGTCATACGTTGACCAGTGTGGTATAAATAAACAGTAAGTGCTCCCAGGCCTACAAGGCATGGCCGCGAAGAGAGCTGTAAGCTGAGGTACGAGCTTTAAGAACAGATTAGGTAAAGCCTCTATTAGCAAGGGCTTCCAGATTCAGGGGCTGTTTACTTAAAAGCCTTGTCACACTGAAGGAAGGTTCTTGTACAAACAAAGCAGGCTCTGCAAAAAAGCATGAAGACTCAGAATGGGAAGCATCAAGAGCATGAGGTAACCAGACCGTGAAACATTTCAGGCAATAGCCGTGTTGACCAAATTTACAAGCATTTGCCTGGAGGCGGGCAGTAATTACCAACATTGGACAATAATAACTGTTCTGAATGCCAAAGAACTAAAAACTCCATCCAGCTCAACAGGAATAAACCTTCTGCTCACCAATAATAATAATAATAATAATAATAATAATAATAATACATTCTGGGTTGATTTGCCTTTTACAATCAAGTCTGTTCAAACACAGATACAATTGAATCTGCCAGTAAGCTGCATCATTCAATTTAAACAGGCTACAGTGTGCAGTGAAAAACCAGACAATGGTGCAGACTAAAGTGAAGCAAGCCTCTCATAACCCAGTGAAGAAAAATGTTTTGTTAAAAATAATAAGCTAATATTACAATAATAAGCTGAAGCCGCCCTGATACTGGCTTCTTATTAGAGACTGCCTGGCCTAATTAACATTAATGTTTGATGAACTCTTCAAAACCACAGACACACAGTGGGCCACTGCTGCACTGCATCAACACCCACAGTCTGGCATGACAACAAACGAGTCAAGAAACAAAGACACTACTATCTACCATCCTGTCCACCGAGGATAATGTTTTGGACAGTGATATGAGCCAGCGTCTAGAATATGTTTGCTATTGTTTCAAAATCAACACAATAGAGGAGGATTGAATTACAAAGATACGGCTGGGTAGAGATGAATGGAGCGGACTGTGGCTGGATGAATCATGAAGTCCACTTCAGATTGCTCTAATTATCAGTGAATGCATTACCCTCGCGAGCTAAATAGCCAGGCGTGGGGTTTATTTGCCATGTCTGTCGGTCAATCACGTGGGGTGGCGGTGGCATACATTCCCCTCTGGCCTCTTTTTGATTTGATTTTGGACACATGGGGTCAGCTTTAACACACGGCAACAATCCGGTTCAATTAGTGTCAAAGATGACATGTATCTTTCTTGCTTTAAGCAAGCATGCCTTCAAAAACCAAATGAAACCAAGTTTCGTCTTCAGTAAGGTCACGTGGCATCACACACCTATTAGTCTGCAATTTATTCAGCCTGGGGAGAAAACATCAGACTTAATGACCAAATGATTGAGCTACCAGGTCGAAAGCAATATCCAGCAGTGAATGAGCTTAACTGCTGACTTACACAACCAGAGCAGCATTAGACTTACACAGTCTACTGGTTAAGCCCTCTTACCGCCACCGGTTACACAGGAAACTCCAAACCTGCAGTGATATTTTACTATTTTAATTTATAAATCTTTACTCAAAAAAACTGAGCCATGTATGATGTAGAGAATGACTCCTAATGTCTGACTTTTTAATACTGGTTTGGCAAAAGCAATGCTGTCCTCACTCCAGTCTACATTACTTCTTTCTCTTTTCTTCCCTGTCACGTTCCCATTCTCTCTCTCCACCGTGTGGCTGGCCATGTTGGGAACATCACTGGGGAGATTCTTTCCACAATTAACTCACTCTCTCGCTACTGGCTCACACTTCAGCATTCCAGTCCTCTGGCAGGACACTCTCCCAGTGCCCTTGCGGACAGAAAGTGATGTGGGCATTAAGTCATAGTACTGGTGGCGGAGGAGGTGGCAGGGGTGGGGCTGGCTTCTTGCTCTCTCAGGAGCCCCCTCAGACTTGGCTGTGCCTGACCGGTCTTAGGGAGACACAACAAATGGTGTCTTCTCAAAGGGCCACAACAACCTCAGTGCAAAGGAATCCATCTTGTCAAGCTCTGCTGGTAACCTGAGCAGACCTTGAGTATTCTCATGTGTGAGCAAGGACCTCATGATTTTACAGTACATCCATCCTAAATATAAAGGAGGCTGGGTGGGACAACTGCTATGCTGTGACATATATTACATATACTAGTAGACAGCTATGGAGATCAGGCCTTTTTTAAATCACAGCCCGAAAAAAGATGCCCTAATTCATCCACAGCATGAGCATCCCCTGATCAAACTGAGCAGCTGTGTAACTCTGTATGCATCTGACTATAACAGAACAAGGAAAATTACAACACAGACAACTGTTGTTAGGTATTCAGATATGGCTGCGGAGCTGGCTGCTATAACAGCAATAATTCGCCACACGCCCTCTTGAGAGGCAAGTATTTAAACAAAGTTTTGTTTTGTTTTTTTCATTCTAGAAGCCACAGGTGGTTTTCAATGCACCAGCTACCAGCCAAACCATTTACAATGGGAGTACAGTAATCTCTCAACACTGACTCACCTTTAATCAGCCGTTCCGTTGTGGACTGTTTCTCCTGCTTGTCTTTATCCTTTCCTGACATCTTCGCTTTGACTGGCGGCTAATTTCGGGGTTCAAATCTTGCACAGCTCTCAGTCCAGCTCGCCTGAAGACAAGCTAACACATACGTGTGGCCGTCACCTCCGTCTTGACTTTCGGTCGGGGTCAGAGGCACTACTTTTACGTTTGCTCTTTCTAACAAACAGTGAAGATTAGCGAGCGGAGGAGGTCCAGCCCTTGTTGTGGTTTGACTAGCTAATAACGTAGCTAGCTTGCAGCAACATTAACGCTGGCAAATAATTAAAGCACAAAGTAGTAATTTTTGACACAACTGTAGAAATGTGGTTAAAATAAATTTTAAAAAACAGGCAACGGCTTGCTGTGCAATAGTACGGCAAATAATACCTGGACGTCACCCAGAGCGAGGCTGCCGTTAGCAGCTAATCCGATTTAGTTACTCTTTTTCAGCTAGTTAGCCAGCTAACATCTTAACGTATTGGCAAGTCGGCGGACAGGCAAAGACAGCAGCGGAACACTGGCGTTTCATCTTCTAAGTGCGGGTCGGGTATTGTCTTAAAATATGACCGCGGCAGCACGTTGAATCGCGAGTATTTGGTATGCACAAACAGCGCGGGTCCTCTCAAGATGCAGACAGCGTCTTGACAGCGTATCCTCCTCCTCGGATTAAACTCTAATCTGACAGTGAGTGAGGAGCAGCGGCGGATTTCCTACAACATGGTGGAGCCGATGTGACGTGACTATGGAAACGAGCACGTGGGCTGGAGGCGCGTTCACAAACACCGAGCTCCTTCATGACGTGACCTGCGGCCGGTCCACGTTAAAGGTCCAGTCCGGTGAAAGTAGACTGTAAAAATAAGACAGCCGTAAGATCAAACCGTGTGCTCAGAAGCTTCAATATTCATCCCAGTGAATTAATATGTGTACACCCTCACTGGTAAACCCTGGCAAAATCTGTGTTCCTGTCTTGTTGCTTTTATTTGTTTTTGTTTGTTTGTTTATTTTGGGGGGGTCTTTATGTATATTATATATTTAATTATGTATTTAATGTCTTCTGTTCTTGTGTGGGGGCTGCAAGATGGAGCAGTGGTTCGCACTGTTGTCTCGGATGAAGAGCTGCAACTATAGGGCTGTCATTCAAAAGTACAACTTTAAACCTGTTGCCAGGATGTTTATTTCTGCCATTCCTCGACATATACCACCATGCTGTTCTTATTCCATGTAAAATGATAGTCCAGAGAGAAAGTTAGACGCAATAGAAAGTTCTGGTGTCTTCTTCCTGAAGGGGGCGTGGACAGCAGCTATAAATGCAAACACACGACCGTCTTTGCAGTATTTGAAGATGAAAAGCTGAGAGACACAAATGAGGGACTGGCAGTCATTTGTTAAAAAGAAGAAATAACATGTAGTGATGCACAACAT